CGTGAAAAACAAAGTAACATGATGAACAAACCTACTTTAACATTTATTTTGATAAAGGCTCGAAATGATTATCTTGAGGGTGTTGTGTTTTGTAACCGGATGGAGGTTACATGTGGAGGTGGCCGGATAGAGGTTGCCTGTTGTGTTTTGTAACCGGATGGAGGTTACATGTGGAGGTGGCCGGATAGTGGTTGCCTGTTGTGTTTTGTAACCGGATGGAGGTTACATGTGGAGGTGGCCGGATAGAGGTTGCCTGTTGTGTTTTGTAACCGGATGGAGGTTACATGTAAAGGTGGCCGGATAGAGGTTGCCTGTAGTGTTTTGTAACCGGATGAAGGTTACATGGTGAAGGTGACCGGATAGAGGTTGCCTGTTGTGTTAGTAACCGGATAGAGGTTACGTGTTGAAGACCGGGTGGAGGTCGATTGGTTCGATGCTTATGACCGGATGGAGGTTATAAGTGTGATGATGATGACCGGATGGAGGTCAGAGTATGAGCACTGCAATATTTAAAAGAGTGTCCTATTACTTGAAGGAATATGAGTTTGTTCAACATGTTAGTCTTGAGAGAAAGAATTTGCTATTTTCGTTATCCCCTATAATGATTACCAAAGTACCTTTTCCCTCTACTTGGGCCAGGAATGGCCGAACGACTGTTATGAGTATTCGAGAATGTTATTCCTTTCCAGGTACTCCACACGAGGACGTGTGATCATCAGGACGGCCGTGTCGAAGCGTCAACGCATATCAATTAATTTAGATGTGGCAACTATTGTTTGAGAACGTCAAGTAATTACTTGAGGATGGTTAGCGCGGAGTAATGGCAACACTGATGGAAATATCGATCCGGAAGTTTAATCAGACTTTGACATTTGACAGCGAATGACGTTGACAGACGTCACTGAGCGCGGGAAACACTTTTGGAAAGGATCGCGGCGGTGGCGGCAGCTAGAAGCGTTACTCCCTGCTAAACTTCCTGCGTTCTTACTATTATCAGTAATTTGGTATTTTGGTGTGATTCGACAATGTCGCGACCCACGGGTAGCGTATCTCCGACATATATATTAATTATATTAATAATTAATATTAATATAACATTAATATAATAATATAATATATATAGTAAGAATGAGTCTAGCCTATAGTCATACACTAGTCGGGTCTCCATGCTACATGATACAACTGTAGCAATATAAAATCTCAGTAATTTATTCATTTAGAAATGCTTATGCTTAGTAATGCATGCGACTAAGCATAAGATAAAGATACTATACATATAAACTATACTATACATACGATTGATGACTGTTGATGAAGCGAAAGAGGTATGTAGGAATCGTAGTAATTGGCGTTCCCTAGTCTCTGCCTACCCCCATGGGAGAAAGGCGTGAAGTTATGTATGTATACATACGATTAAGCATACTGTTTGAATTAAGTCTGTTAAATTAAAACTGTTTTATGAATGGATATTGATGTTCGAATACTGAAAGAAGTATTTTTGAGATAGTTAGGAATTGATACCCTAGTGTTCTAGATCTGGGCTCGCTGCCATTGCAGCGGTAAGTCCCCTCTTTGAGGAGTGGCTTGAGAGACGCTACGGCGTCCTCACCTACCGCCTGACGCAGGTCCTCACCGGACATGGAAGTTTCGGGAGGTACCTGTGTCTGATGGGGCGGGAGGAAACGCCCGGGTGTCATCACTGCGAGGACCACCCTGAGGACACGGTGGAACACACTGTTGCGGAATGCCCTGCGTGGGCTGAGCACCGCCGTGCCCTCAGGGAAGTGATCGGCGATGGAGACCTCTCGCGTCCGGGCCTAGTGCAGGCCATGATGCGGAGCGAGGGGGACTGGGATGCCGTCTCCTCCTTTTGCGAAGCAGTCATGCTGGCTAAGGAGGAGGCGGGACGCGTGAGGCAGCGAAGCGCTGCCTCCTCGCAACCCAGCCATCGCGAAGGACACACCGGGCGTCGGGGATCGCGGGACGATCTCCGGCCACCGTAAGCGCGGGCCTGCGGACGGCGAGCATGGGTGGCTCCCCGTCCGACCAGAAACAGACCCGAGCGTACGGCGCGTCGCGTTCCGCGCGCGCCTCAAAGAGCCATCAGACCACCACAGATGGGGCCCAATAGGGCCGATGCCGATTCGGAGTCGCGGAGAACCTAACGGGTAACCGGGGCTCCGGCTCGACGTGCAGGAGAAGGAACGGGGTGGTTTTTAGTCAGTAAGAGTCTGACACTCCCTTCCGCCTCACCCAGGCGGGAGCAGTCATTCGATGATTTTCTAGAAGTGTTCTAGATAGATACAAATAGGAATTAAATTATAATACCAATCTATTACGACTAAGTGATAATTCAGAGATAATTTTATTTTCCATCAAAAGGAACCAACCGATGTAAATGATAAGCGTTCCAAATTAATTGGATTTTTAATACAAATAGTGTGTTACAAAACTGATAGTTATCAATATCTGCGTATCAGCTATCGATACATTAGCGGTATTCGTACAACATTGCGATTGGCGCGCGGTTATATGTTTGTAAACGTACATTCCAGGAAATCAGTACGGTACTTACATTGTAAATATCAGACAATGGGAATTTTCATTAAAAATATTACCCGACTGTAGCTTTATGTAAAGAAGATTATTGTAAAATAGTAGATAACATTTACAAATAAAATATAGTTAGTACCATTTTATTGTTTAAAGAATAAATTATCAAATAAAATACTTGCGACGACTCATTGATTTATAATGTCGTATGATGACATGTTTTCCTCACGGTTATTTTACACATTATGTGACGATGTCAATCTCATCGTGCTTTTACATAACAAATACATGTACAACTGAAATACTGAAATTTTTACTACTACTTATGCTTACATAATAATTAGTACCTACTCTGATATTCTAAAAAACAACTTAATCTAATTATTATCTATCCATCTATCCAATATAAAGGAATATAAATCACTAGCTTCTGCCCACGACTTCGTACGCGCAATGCCGTTTTTTTCCCGTTCCCATTTGATTTTCAGGATTTTTTTCTATTAAGTATAAGAACAACAAAAAAAAATCAGCCAAATCGGTCCAGCCATTCTGAAATTATGGCGTGACAACGGGAAACGGTTTTTATAATAACTATCGTGAGACATAAATTAACCAAAAGGCTGCGCGACATCGCCGCGACCGCACACGCTGTTCATGAGGAAGAACCCCTCTGTGGTTCGAAACTAGTAGAGCTTTTCTCAGTATATTCACGTGAGTAACCCGCGATTTTTAGTTAACGGGAAACGGCTTTCATTTATATACATATAGATGTCAGATGTATGTAGCTAAAATACCATTAAATATTTCAACATCCATTGATTGCCTAGTTGCATGGAGTTGAGAAGTGCATTTCTCTAATTTGTATATCGAACACATTCCACCAATACATGCTGCACGTCTTTTATTCCGCCATACATCATCATTGTTTTAGAAGACGCTTTTTCAGTACCTTAACGATCTTATAGGCCTATCAGACTGTATTACATAATATGTGTTCTTCAAGTAAATGTTTGCCATGATTATTAAAATAGTAATATTGCAACATCCTATGTTACAGCTTCAATATTTATGTATTTCCTACAGACATGCTATTTTTACCTACACTGTGCACCCAGTGCACCGCATTGAATTGTGCCGGATGCGCAATACAGCTGAGTATTTATTAGTAAGCATTTTATTTATGATAAACACAACAGATGTAAATTATATACATACATATAACATAACATAACATAACATCACGCCTTTTATCCCCGAAGGGGTAGGCAGAGGTGCACATTATACCACTGTATAAAGTAACACCCACTTTTCACTATTTATGTTATGAGTCCCATGTAATAGGGGGTGAGCCTATAGCCATATACCGGGCACAATTCCAGACTCCGTGCTACTACTGAGATTTTTTTTAAAACCCAGTAATACTTTGCCCGACCCGGGAATCGAACCCGAGACCCCTTGCCCGGCAGTCGCACTTGCGACCACTCGGCCAACGAGGCAGTCATACATATACTTAATACATATAGGTACTTAGGTATAGGCTATATAAAGGCGAGCAATAATTTTGACGTCATTGGTAGAGTGGTCGCAAGTCAGCAAGGGGTTTTGCGTCTGGGGGATTGTTACTGAGGTTACTTATAGGTTTTTCGACAAGTACGTAACTATTTTCTCAATAACGTCTGAACGGCAATCTGGAATTGTGCACGGTATACAGCTTCGTCACAAGTGAGCTAGGGCTGTTAAATTAGTGGAACACCGGGGATGTTTTAGTTTCAACATCAACAGCCTATAAGTGGCCACTGTTGACCAATGACTTCTTCTAACACGGAGAAGGTTTAAGCATTAATCGCCACGCTTGCTCAATGTGACTTAATCAACAATGTGCTCAATGTACGCTTGGCAATTTTAAACTTATAATTAGAAATTATAAGCTTAGGTTTCGTCACCATGTTTTCCTTCACCGTTTGTCAGTGATGTCAAGTAATCTTAGAAAGTACATAATAACTGGGAAAGTGTCATATTGGTACACTTGTGTTTTAGTATATTGACTAAAAAAAGAGTCAGACTCTTATTGACTCTTCTTTGGTTGAATGAGTTAAACTTTGCGTTAATGGTTGGGGTATTAATGCAAAGCTTTTTTAAAACCCCAAGCTGTAGTGGTGAAAAAACTGGGTGTGCAGACATCTGAGGGCTTAGTACGAGTATGTTTTACGTTTAAACTAATCGAAACGAGAAAAAAAGAAAATCGATCCCTTGGAGCCGGTCAATCAGAGGAGAGGCTTAGTAAGAGTAAGTTTTATCGGAGCGCCGAACGCGGTCTCGGTTCGATTACTTTAAACGTAAAACAAACTCGTACCAACTCCTCTTTACTCTGAAGCCTTGAGTGGCATGTTAATGAATTAAGTGTACCCAGATTAGGGTCTAAGTAATAGTTTTAAAGAAATTATTACCTCCTCTCTTTTCTTTCTACTTGATTCTTCTTCCTGCTCTGCAGCTAATTTTGATTTATCTTCATATTTGTGTATGTGTATTCGGTGGTTACCTAGAAAGATAATTATTATTACATTCTTTTAAAAATAACACTGGGTAATATATTAACTAAAGTAAAGTAATTAACTTTATTATTTAATTTGTATATAAATGTTCGTGTGGATGGGAAACCGATCACAGAAAAAGCAAATAAAGTTTGACGAGACTCGAGAATTGCTTCCGAGATCTGCAGTCACGCTTGTGACCATTTAAACAATGACATGGTAAAAAATAATTTATTTTACCTAAAAACAATTTGTCTTTTCCTAGAGCCTTCTTAAACTCCTTCTCGGTTCTAAACCCGACGTAACAGAACCCAGTGACCTTCTTTCCTTTACCATAGGGTAATCTTATTGAGAATGGTACTAGAGGCCTGAAGAACTCTTTAATGTCCTTCTTTTTACACTTGTATGGCAGACCCATAATCTAAAACAGAAATAAAATAATTATACTTAACATAAAATAATAATATATAATAAAAACATTTATTTGCAGTAAACATGGTATAAAAAGGTCTTAGGTTTACAATAGGCACAAACATGTTCAGCTAATAAAACAGCATGCAAAAATTAAATATTAGGAGCTACAAAATATATTAATTGGACCGTTACTTTGTCAGTGTTCTAGTTACTGACTTATAAGTACCGACACATTTATTTACAAAAATTATTACACATAAGTACTAGGGCTATTTATTATTATCACTTATTCACATTGAACCATCGTTTTAATATAATTGCCGACAAATCTCTAACTATTTTCTACTTTCCCTAAAATTCTTTACACTAACATACATAACATTATTACTTCCAGGGATAAAAGATTTATAATAATATGTGTGACACTTCTTGAAAATTATTGTGCCATCAATCATATAAGATATAGAAGCAAGCATATGGTAATAAATTTGCCACAGCTGATAATCTTAAAGTTTCTAAACCTAGGAATATAACCTAAGATGCCTTATTTAGAGCCAATTTTTCATAACTCAGTTAAACCATTAGTAACCATTTAACCAACAGTTAACAAAATTCTCTATTATTTAGTTACCAGTTCGGCCTTATCCCACAGTTAAAATCTCTTTAAAATCAACGTCCAAGTCAAAGGGCCACATATCCAAAATATTAATCTATCTATTATGATTTTTATTGTTTACTAGCAACTTCCGCGCGATTTCACACGCTCTGCTCAGCTCCTATTGGTCGTAGCGCGATGTTTTATAGCCTATAGCCATCCTCGATAAATGCGCTGTCCAACATAAAAATAATTATTTAAATCAGACTTGTAGTTACGGAGATTAGCGCGTTTAAACTTTAAACAAACAAACAAAAAAACAAACCCTTCTGCTTTATACAATAGTATAAGTTATAAGATGTTTTTACGAGAAACCAATTTAGTCTATGTAGAATATCCGTTGTATCCCTTAACACTATCAACTAAGATTCCTAGATAGGTCTTTTTTTAAAGCCGCTGCTTGACCAGCCAGTGCAGTAACCATGCAGTCTAATACAACAACGATAATTATTACTTACTTTAACATGAAACAATGGTCTGTTTCTAATTTTCTTTGGTTGCTGTTCTTCTATTGTCTGTTCATTTGATTCCTCTGTTACTTTTTCTCTTGCTGGATCTCCCACTTTCTTCATTAGTAATTTCATGTACTAGAATAAGGTCAAAAAAATATTAAATATTATAATAAGTTAGTTATGGAACTTATTAATTAACTATAAGGCAAAGTTTCAAAGGAATTTTTAGTTTAAGTATGGAGCTTGCAACGGATGGTGTAAACCAGCGTTTCCCAGCCTTTTCAGCCGACAGACCCTTTGGAAATTAAAACCAGGTATCACGGACCCCCTTATTAAAATAGCAAAATAAAGGTATGAAGGTTGGTGTTGCGTTTTTGCAACTAAATCAGGGATATTGGGGTTGATGTCGCTACTACTTAATAGTAGTCTGTAATCTCCAATTAGATTCCACTTTGTTAGCTGTTTTTGTGGCCCTTTTCCATTTAATGAGCGATTTATGTGGGGTCCAGATATGACACCGCGGACCCCCATACATACACTCGCGGACCCCCAGGGAACTGCGGACCACAGGTTGGGAAATGATGGTGTAAACAATAGGCGTGTCCATGGAACTTTATACATAATTGGTGAAAAGTGGCTGCTAAGAACTAGAGATATACTTATACCTTTGGGCTGTGGACTCAGTATTTGTTTAGGGTGAACAAATATTGACTTGACAATTTGTTTGAATTTTCCTTTAAAATTGTACTTTAAGGTGAATAGCAGGTATTGAATTAAAAAATAAATGTTATTAGGTAATGTAATTAGCAACAAACTTACCTCTAAATCACTGATTGCAGTTTCTGCAACTTTCTTAGGTTGTTCTTTATGTTTTTTTACTTCTTCTGTTTCATCTTTCTTACTTTGTTTATCTTTTACAGGAATTTCATCTTTCTTTTGGGTTTCTTTCTGTTCATCATTAGTTTCCTCAATGTTGATGTCATCATCATCATCATTATCACTCTTTGAAGCAGAATCTAAGGCTTCCTTTATCCAAGCTGTTTTGTCATTCACATGGGCTTCTATGAATTCCGTGAATAGTGGATCATCTTTATGCTGAAATAAAATGTTTTGAGTTACCAATTAGTGCAAAAGACAGCAAGAAGTGAAAAAAAACCACACCTCTGAAGAGCTGCAATAATTGTTGTATAATACTACATATACTATTAAATAATTTCTTTTGTTAGACTTGTATGTTGCTAGGGGAGAGGTATTAATTGTATTTTGTTAAATGTGTTATTAAAAAAGAACTCTTGTATTTACCTTCCAGAGTAGTTCCTTGATTTTATTTTTGTTTTTCTCAACTTTTTTCTCTTTCTTTTCAGCCTTCTTTTTATCTTCAATTTCATCTTTGTGGAGCTTCTTGTATGCGCTACTGTCTGGTGCATATTTGCTCCAAGCTTTTGGTTTTTTCTCATCACCCAAATTTGCACATGTTTGGACTTGGATTTGCATAGAATTTATGCATGTTCCATCAAAGTACTCCCTTGCTTGATTGGCCTGTTCCTCTGTTCTATATCCAATGAAACCAAAGTTCCGAAACTTGCCATCTTTCGTGTATTTCAATTGCACATCAGTTACTTCGCCTTTTTCACCGAATATATCTTTTAATTTATCTACAGTTACCTGAAATAGTCAGTAATGATATAATTATAATGACGTATTACTGTATAAAAGTATATAATCATTTATTAACACAAGTTATATCACATTATTATATTTTGAATTCAATGTTGTAAAAACGTAAAGTAAGATTTTAGGTTTACCGTAAAATGATGTTGAAATAAATACATACCTTATTTGGTAAATTCTTAACTATAAGTCGAGACATTTTACTGAAAAACAATTAAATTTCTATTTGTAAATAAATAGCACGTGCTGCTTGTGCTCTGCACATTTCATCGCACATGACAGGATAGTGACAAGTGACAACTGATGGTTCAGGTAAAAGATTTATGGCACGTTTAGAAATCAGCAATATTAGTAGCTACTAGCGAAATGTTTGCCTGTACCATAATTTACTATCATAATAATCATCATCATCATTAACACCCTGTTCTCGTCCACTGCTAGACATAGGCCTCTCCAATGTCACGTTACCGAGGTCAATCTTTAGCTAATTTACCATATATGTATTGTTAAAGTGTATTCTGTGACCTTGGTATTTTGGTACTATTCTGTTGGTGAAGCATAATTTATGGTAAGAGGGTGAGACGATTTTTTGAAAAATATTTTAGATTTCCATTACGTTTCTAAACGAATATTAGTAAGAGTCCGAAGCAATGTTGTTGTCAAAAATATGAAGTGAAGTGTCATTTCATTGTGAATAAATAAGAATAGATCAGCTGTTGCTATTGTCTGAATGTCTGATCTGTCAGTTAGATTAGAATCAGAAGACTGGAAGGAATTACAAATAAATTATTGATATTGGAAAGATTTTACTGAAATCTCTGCCGGTAATGACTTAGAGTATTGTTTTTGATCGAGCCATTGTTTCAATTCATCAAGATGTCGACCGCTATGACTTTTGGGCAAAAACAGTTCATACCAACCCCACCAGATAAGGGAAGCTTTCCTCTGGACCATGATGGAGTTTGTAAAGATAGTATGAGAAAATATATGAAGTGTTTATTAAACAATAATGGTAATAATTCAATGTGTCGAGATGAAGCGAAAGAATACCTGGGATGTAGAATGGATAACAACCTAATGGCCAAAGAAGATTGGAGTAAATTAGGTTTCAAAAATGAAGTTACAGAAGATAAGAAATGACATTTTGTTATCCGTTTAGGTAAGAATATTGTTGATTATATTGTTGTATTAAATAAATTTTAGTAATAGCATATCAGTGTAGTGATTATTTCATGGTATACCTAATACAATTATTTATACATAATTATATGTACTCTTACTTATTAGTTATAAAGAGCCTGTAGATTTGAGGGCAAATAACACAAATATTAGACAAACAGAAAACTCCAACATATTATAATTCATTCTTAAAATGTGATTTGATTCCTCACAGCAAATATTCTACCAACTGTTAATTAGTTGTGGATATGTGTGTGAATGAATATTGAAGTATAGCAAATTTACAATAGAATGTTACATTGGCAACATGACAATATTTATCTTAGTTTTACTGGTACATATTTGATGAACATGAACATGTTGATCTGATATTGATACCTTATACCCAGTACTTACGAGAAAGCTAAGAATGGCATAGCCACTAAAACTAACTTTCAATAACATAAAATATTTTTTATTATTAATAATAATATGACAAGTGTTTAGTAAGTAAGTGATAAAACCTAGCAACAACAAGATAGGGATTACCATAAAGTTAAAGTTAAATAAAATTAAAAACAAATTTACTTTTTTCTCAATAATTTATCTAGTTGACTACCTCTCAGGGTCAGTTGACAGTAGACTAGCAGTTTGCTGCTCTGTCATTACTTCAATCAGACGTTGACCGAGATGGCTTAACTGATGCAACAAGGAGGTTTGTTGGCGAGTAACCTCCAGCCTCTCTGTTTCTAATCTTAATCTCTCAGCTTCCAGTTTTATCCTTTCCATCTCTCTCTCATGAAGTCGCTTATCTCTCTCCTCTTCATACATAAGTCGCCTTCGCTCAATGACTGCAAATTGTTCTGCCACCCGTTCAAAAGGTGTATGGAGTCTTCTATTCCTTCGCATAACTGAAGCTCGTCGTGAAGTTGTCGAGAATTGAGATGATACAGGCTGTTTGTTATTTTCCTCTATAAAATTATGGTTTTGGGATGGTGTTGGTGACAGTGACGGGAGTGATGCCGGTGTAACCAGTATTGTTTCTTCCTTTACTTGCGGCGACTGTATCAAATATATGTCAGGTGTCACAACTGAAAAATAAAATGCATTCGTTGGAATATGCAAGTCTCAATAAGGGGAAGTACTCTACAATACCTTGCTGTGAAAAAACAAGAGGAAGGAAAAAAATTTTTATTTATAGCAAAACATTCGTATTATAGTGTTAGAGTGTAACAGTCAAGAGTCATTTCAACTATGCGAGTAGGGAAGGTTACACTAGTTATGAACATGCAGTTATTAGCATTATCTTATTGTGTAATGTTTAACTTACTATTCTGGTTGCTGTGGTTCTCCAGCACAATATCATCAGTATTACTAGGTCCCGGTGACTGTTCAGTAGCACTCCCAATCTTAAAAATATTACACAAATAAATTTTAATTATAAGAGCCTATCTCACATACCCTAATTTTATTGACTAAGATGACGACTTAGTCAATAAAATTAGGGTAGGGCCTTAAGTGCCCACTGCTGAGCAAAGCCTCTTCTCACACGGAGAAGGTTTGAGCATTAATCACCCCGTTTGCTCAATGTGGGTTGGCGATTACAAACTTATAATTAGAAATTATAAGCCCCGGTTTCCTCATGATGTTTTCTTTCACCGTTTGTCAGTGGTGTCTAGATCTTATAAAGTACTACATATAAAGTCGGTTGGTAGGTTTCTCGACCCACATTCTCATGCATGAAAAGACCTCCAGGCCACCAGGACATTTTGATTGATTTTGACTAAGTAGGTGATTAATAAAAGGGATCGATTACCTTGTAGTCTTGCTCTTGAGTGACAATTTGATCAAATTTTTTAGTTACTCCCATGACTGCCACCACTCTTTCCTCTAACGCAGTTATTTTAACAAAACGACCTAAACCATCACATTTGTTTATATATTTTTTTTTTGTTTTCGTTTTCCAGTCGGCCCATACCTAAAAGCAGCAACATCATAATGTAAAAAAAAAAATTAGGTATATTCCAGTTTACAAAATTATAATAATTATAGTTCAATAGTTACTTTTTTCCATTTATCTAATGGTTTCTGAACACCACCAGGAATAGAATTTAATATTTTTGTTAATTGCATCCACAACAACTCACAATTATTTCGTCCTATAAGCCCTGGCGCAGGTTTTGATAGATCCCCGTACCTAAAATGTAAACAATTACATGACCTATCTAAAGTTTTCTCCTACAATCAACAGTATCATATTATGGTAAGAAGAGGATGTAAGTTATAATAACATACCTTTCCATAAAGTCTATAAGAGCCAAAAATTGTTCCATAGTAGCTCTTAATCTTGGCTCCATTTCTAAAACAAAACTTATTTGGTATCTATAAATATTTTGATTAGGTAGGTATATAGAACACAAAGCATATCTAATTATTTAAAATTGGAAACTTCTTACAAGTGATAGGAAGTGAATGATTGAGTTGAAAATATGATAGGTAGTAATTGTAATCTATGTACCTATGTATTGTAAAATAATAATAATATTTACCAGCGTCTCTCGAATACAGCGGACTTCACAAATTCACAAGCACAATGTCAAAATGACTTTGACATAAACTATAGAATAGACAACGCTCGATTTTATCGTCTAGGTCTGTTTTATTGGCTGGTTTCAAAATACATCGAGCTACGAATACTAGCCTACATAGAATAAAAAAAACTTGCACATACGATTATCAGTTACCTACCCTCTTACTATTAGGTAACAGCCAACTTGCAAAGGTTTAAGACGATGGAGGTTTAAGACATCCGCTTTTCATACATGAGAGTGCGGGTTTGAAACCTACCAACGGCAAGCGCCAATGTGAGATTTTCCAAGTTATAGGGTGACTTGTAACTCTACGTATTCCTCTCGGAAGGTGATAATACAACTAATTTCCTACAAAATTAGGTCTCAGGACTCTGGTCCGAAAGTGCCTAGTTTCTGAGATATTCAATATTTTCGGTTTTGGTGAAAAAATCCCGATTCAACTACAAAAACATCAAAAAATAAATCATGTGCGAGATAAGAAAGCGTCTGCGAGTATGTATTCATCATAGGGAAGGTCACTTTAAACAAAATTTTGTAAATCCTTACTTATCATCAAGTTATTCATTCATTTTTGAAAATTTTATATTTTGGGTAGTTAATAAACCAAGGAAGTTTTTCTAATTGTTTGTACGCTTAGTATAATATAATTTTATTAAGCTAAATGCAATTTTGGGCTCGCTGCCATCGCAGCGGTAAGTCCCTTCTTTGAGAAGTGGTTTGAGGGACGCTACGGCGTCCTCACCTACCGCCTGATGCAGGTCCTCACCGGACATGGGAGCTTCGGGAGGTACTTGTGTCTGATAGGGCGGGAGGAAACGCCCGAGGACCGCCCTGAGACACGGTGGAACACACAGTCGGAGAATGCCCTGCGTGGGCTGAGCACCGCCGTGCCCTCAGGGACGTGATTGGCGACGGCGATCTCTCGCGTCTGACCCTAGTGCGGGCCATGATGCGGAGCGAGGGGCCTGGGATGCCGTCTCCTGCTTTTGCGAAGCAGTCATGCTAGCTAAGGAGGAGGCGGGACGCGTGAGGCAGCGAAGCGCTGCCTCTTCACAACCCAGCCGTCACGAAGGACACTCCGGGCGTCGGGGATCGCGAGACGATCTCCGGCCACCGTAAGCGCGGGCTTGCGGACGGTGAGCATGGGTGACTCGCCGCCCGACCAGAACCAGACCCGAGCGTACGGCGCGCGCCTCAAAGAGCCATCAGACCACCACGGATGGGGCCCAATAGGGCTGATGCCAATACGGGGTCGCGGAGAACCTAACGGGTTACCAGGGCTCCGGCTCGAAGTGCAGGAGTAGGAACCGGGTGGTTTTTAGTCAGTAAGAGTCTGACACCCCTCCAGCCTCACCCAGGCGGGAGCAGTCATTCGATGATTTCCCTCCCCCCCTAAAAAAGCTAAATTTCCTATCTACCAAATAAGTATAAAACAATATTTGATACTAATTTACTTGCTATTTTAAAACGAATGATATTTGTGCCAGTATTAGTATTAATAAATGTTTATAGATCGATTGGCAACAAATTAAAATTATTATCACATAAATCAAACCAGTAGTTTTTTAATTATTGATGTTTTTGTAGTTCAAAGTTAGTTTGTAGAAAATGTTGAATATCTCAGAAACTAATCACTTTCGGATTAGACACCTTAGGGCTAATTTTGTAGGAAATTAGTTGTATTATCACCTCCCGAGAGGAATACGTCGAGTTACAAGTCACCCTGTATATACGTTCTAAGATTATCTAGACACCTCTAACAAAAGGCGAAGGAAAACATCGTGAGGAAACCTGGACTTATAATTTCTAATTATAAGTTTTTAAGATATCGCCAACCCGCATTGAGAAAGCGTGGTGATTAATGCTCAAACATTTTTCGTTGCAGTATATAAATGTAATTAAAAAAATTATCCTGGGTTGGTGCTCACCGAAAGCGGGAGGCTAGGCAGTGTGCACAGCATCTGGCTATACCTCAACATAAAACAGCAGCATTTCGAGGCAGTTTTCGGTACGCAGCGTCCAAATGTTGGAACAATATACCTCCACCTATCAGAGACTCACCAAGTTTAAATAGTTTTAAATATAAGCTTAAAATGTTTATTTTAACTTCGCATAAAGACAAGGCTGCAATTAATGTTGATCTGTCTATCATTTAACTCTAGCCAGTTTAGTGTATGAATGATGCAGAACGCAGACATATTGGCTGTCCTATGTCCTTCTTTCTGTCATGTGACTATTTATTAACATTTTTTTTTATTATTTAATTTTACATTACTTTCTATATTTATTATACTGATAAGTATACCATTGTTGTATCTGCATACTTATTGCATATATATGTGTGTGTGTGTGTGTGTGTGTGTGTGTGTGTATGTATGTATGTGTATATGTATGTATATGTGTATATGTATGTATATGTATATATGTGTGTGTATATATATGTGTGTATATATATGTGTGTGTGGTGGGTGTGTAGATGCATCAATATATATGTATATATATATTTATTTTTTTGTCTTTGTCTAACCATACAACGTTGCTACCATCCGTGCGTCACTGCATGGGTGCCCACTGAAAATCAGTGCTGGGTAACCTGTATGCCTGGCTTACACTGAGTGGGTGACCCTTTTAGCATAGGCATGTTGTCAGCGTCTCTTTTCTAATTCTTCTGTTTCAATTTTTCAACTCTTATATTTTTATAACTTCCACTGTCACATCTTGATTGTCTTTTTTTATTTTTTATTTATGCTGCATCGTGCCTGGTGCTTAATAAATGTTTTTTCTTTCTTTTCTTTCTTTCTTTCTTATGTATATATGATAATAATGCTGAACTTGCCAAAGCCCTTCGTCGATATAATCGAATCAAAACTGATGAATAAATTGTTGGAACTTCTTGTATTAAACCAAAACAAACAATAAATAGTGCTCAGTAATATTTAAAATAAACATATTCCATTAATTAACATTATATTATTAGCTACCCACTGTACTAAATATATTAAAATTTTGGAAACTTTTTATTTAACCAAACTACCCTAAACTAGGGCTTTCCCGTATTATAAATTCGTAAACCAAACCCGGAACCGGAATTCCCATACAAATATTTTCTGGTTCAGGTAAATAGGATTCAATTCTCGAATAGAAAACGATTTGTTTAAGTTATTATTGGGGTTTTTTAATAATCAAAAATTCATCATAATGCCTCATTAGTCGAGTAGACGCAACCGTGACAGTCGAGCCGTTATCGGGACCTCCTGGGATCTAAGTCGATTCTTATAGTACATATTAAGAATTAAAGGAATTCAATATTTTCCAAGTAAGTACTATTAAGGAATTTATTCTTCTATTTGTTCTCTAAGTAGATAGGGCTTCTGTTTATTATCTAAGACAATATTATTCTCTAAGCAGATAGGACAATTTAATGATATTATTTTTGCTCCTAAAGACTAGGAGAGTGATACAGGCTATTTTTTCCTTTCACCACGTAAGCGAACCCGTTTTTATATAATCTACATATACGCTAGTTACCTACAAGGCTTATTTACTAGGTTGTTCTAAGGAAATAAAAAAACATAGAATAATTTTATTTATCATAGAAATGTATTTATTTTCTTTATTAAACGTATAATATTACTTAAAGATATACATTCAACTAAAATTATTCATTGAGTAATTATTTTAGAAAGACATTAGAAAATTTTTATTTCTTTTTATAGCCAGTATTATATGGCATTTTTTATAAAAATAAATATCACAGTTATTATTAAATTATGTATTTGTGACCAAAGAAATTATAAAGTCTAATGTAGCCTAGATAATTACACTAAAATGTTGAGTGGCTTCAGAGGTATAACATTGTTTTTATATACACGTCACCTTATTGGCTGTATCCAAAATATTTTTCTTTCTATGTGTATTCTAAGTTTCAAGAATAATCGTGTAATGATTACTGTAGATAGAATATTGTATGTTAATATCATTCTGTTCTTAAGGGATAACGAGGATAGGAGAGGTATATCATTGACTTTTTATGGTAAACATTGATTGAAGACACAACAGCAACATACAAAAATATCCAAAGAGAATTTATTCTGTACAATGACTAACTATAATAAGCACCATATTCATTCTACCAAGTTTTACTTTTCCATTTCCATGTTGGCAACACAATCTGATTACACGAATTCATAATACATCATCCTTAGCTTTTCACAGTACACATAAGGCCATTTGTTAAAATACATGTATATATCCATACCATTATATGTATAGGTATAGTTAGCATTGATTTTATAGCATCTATATATCTTTACTTATATATTATGTAACTTAGTTTATTTCATTTACAAATTACTGTATAAGTGTACCTCTTTTAACCAGCATAAGAGATATAAATAATTTACTCAACTATTTATTATATGACGTATATAATAATATAAGAGATAAAGTCAACGAGTACAATTTTTACAACATTATTCTACAAATGCTTCATTAAAATATCAATAACTAAGGCAGTTGTATGTTGTCTATGGCAAAAAGAATTAGTTACTTAAATAGGTACTGTAGGATAGTTTACAACATAATTATTCCACACTAACAATTAAACATCGAAGTACAATACAAACTGTACAGAAGCTAAATGGATGGTGTTTTATACCTTACACGACGTCAACTAACCAAGCACTCGATCGTTTTGAGATCAAAATGTACATATAATAAAATAATAATTGATACAATTACTTATTATCTAATTTCCTTAAAAGTTTATTTAATAATAACATTATTACAAGTACTTATATTATAATTATGCAGATATTTGTTTAATACTAAACAGGCAGTGCAATTTTGCGCAATAGTTACTAAGTCTAGTCTTAATTCAGACGTATCCGATATGTACTTGTTGATTCAGACGTTATTATGCAACTGCTGTACTTATTTATGTACTTATTTGATGTTATAAGTGTCTATCCATATTTTAAACAATGGAGTAAAATGTAAAGCAGCTTTTTAACTGGTGAATTCCTTGATCTTTTGTGTTGCAAAAATATACATAGGCTTTACGTTGGTATTAAGTAAAGTCAAGCTTTTAGCTATCTTTAACTAGATATTTTACAATGTTCCCAAATCTTATCGCTTATCAGTACATTACATATTTACTACATAGGTAACTAGATTAAAGTACCAATGTCATAAACTTGGTATATACTTCTAAGTATACAATATTCCAAGTTAATAATTTAAAATTGAAGATTTTAATAACGCTGCAGTCGTAGAAATAAATTATGTAAAGGATAAAATATTATTCTAACAGTACCTAATATAAGTAGTCACTATTAAAAGTGTGGAGTATAAGAACGTTAGTAAATTGATGGATAAATTAGTTGCAGCACTAGGTGAGCGTAGGGTTGAGCCGGGCGCAGGTGGGGTCTTGTAGCCAGCGCGCCGACCCGAGCGTTCTGTGGCGCATCCCATCCAGAAGGTCGCTGATGGGTATTGTTTATCATTTTCAACGCGCATGTGAAGGTCGTTGAACTTCCAAAAACCTTTACCTTTGAAGAAATACGTTTTACCTGAAAAAGTTGAAACAATGATAATAAGCTTGCTTCGTCGTCAGTTTAACTTTTAGTAATTACGTGTCTGGTTAGATAATAATATAATGACTGTATGGGTTTTAGTAGTTTCTTACCATCTTTCCATTGAAACACGCTGTCGATATTGTAGCCCACGCCTTTCCACATCGCCATGTTGCGAGGATAATCGTAGTCTACGCGACCTTTTTCTTCGTCATATCTGTAATAGATAATAATTGTTTTAAATACTGTATGTACTTACACAAAATATGTAAAGTATTAAGAATTTAATTTTTAACTCACTTCCAGTACATAGAGCCACTGTAGAAATAAGTATTGCCGTTGTGACCCCAAACCATGGCAGCGTCTAGTTTTTCTAAACTTGCTGGTAGACCAAACGCTGATAACGGTTTCGGGTATCCCGGCAACAAATGTTGTGAGTCGAACAAGAACAATTGTTTACCTGAAATAAAGATAATATCGTTAGTTACTGAACAAACTTCTTAAATTAGAAACATTGTCACCGTTTGTGACTTCATTTAGATTTGTAGAATTGCAAGTTTGACTAAATTATTCCATACCTATAAAAATAGCTATTTTGCGATCCGGTCTTTCATAAACTGCATCTACGTGTGTAAGATCCTTTGGTAGACTAGCCCACATTCTAGTTATTTCCATTGGATATCCAGGATAGCGTCCATGAGCTCCTATCCTCCAGTGGTACTGAAAACAAATAAAAATTTAACAATGTGTATTTTAAACAAAGTTATGGAAGTCAAAACTTGGAATAGTTACTTATTTAATGCAAAATCAAAATGGTATTGTGTTGAATACTCACTCGATTTTTAAATATGAAGAGCTCGCCACGTATGAGCGCGACTGCGTCATAACTAGTGTCACACGTGTCAGGTTTGTCTGAAGGAGTCGTGGTCGTCGTTCGCTGAGTTGTCTTCTCTGGATAGTACGGCTTCCTTGGATTGTCTTGCCTAGGATCGTTCGGGTAGTGAGGTCTAGGATTACTCGGGTACTCGGGCTGCACATAGGGATACCGCGGGCGATAGGTAGTGGGATGGGTGGTACGTTCAGTGGGGCGGTAGGTGTGGTGGTGATTCGTGCGTCGCGGGTGTTCGTCGCTCGTATTGTAATGGCGGCGGTGATCAGGATAATGTCGTTCAGGGTATCTATTGGGAATGCGTGGGGTGTACCCTCTGTTAGGGTATTGTTCTGGATGTCTGTTGTGATGGCGATCATGATAAGGAATGTATGGTCGTCGAGTGGTGGTAGTCGTGGTAGTGGTGGTGGTTGTTGTCGTGGTAGTGGTAGTCGGCCGAAATTGTGGTACTTTTCCCCATTGTGTTGTGTCTGTTTTAGGACCTGAAAAATGAATCAAATGAAAATAAACATATTTGAAGTTTTCGATTCTACAGTAAGCCATAACAAATTATATTGGATACTTGATGCTTACCATACATTTGTTGGATACCATTGCGATCATCTTCTGGTAAAACAAAGTTTTGTTGAATGCCTTGATACCACGGAAACATAAGCGCACCCTTTACAGAGCTGTGGCTCAGTCCCAATGAATGGCCGAACTCGTGGGCAGCCACCGCAAAAAGTGAAGTTCCTGCAACGTAATGAACGTAACAATTAACTACAGAAACTTAGGACTGGATAACTTTTTTAACCCTAATATCGAGACAATATGGACTAACACAGGGTTATTCACAATCAAAATTGTCATTGTCATCGTTTGGCAATGTTGGCGTAGTTTATATTCTATTCACATGTTGGTTCAGTCGAATGAAGGTGGATATTTACACATGGCTAGCCGAATACAATTTGAAGTGGCGTTGTAACCGTCCGTTGTCCGTGTAAATTATCACGTGTGCACAGTGCCGAGCGGCGCGGTAATCGCAGCGGTGTCCTGGACGCGCCTGTGGTCGCCTATCGGCTGCTGCCGTGTTTACACTATACATGCGACGACCACACTTGGCACGCTTCGCTATGTTCCTACTCTATCTATAAACATTAATTTTGTCTTCTGTACCTAAATAACCTTTTAATACAATAAGTAATCATTAATTACGTATAGTTATCCTAAGTTACTACTTAGAAATGGAAGAGATGGTTGAAAAACATAGGTAGATAGTTTGAAACAATAGGTTAATTAAAATACCGCTAATAAGAACTAAGTGTAAAAATGTGTGTGTAAAATGCATATATAGTACATTTATTTGTAGACAATATCCGTATTGAGGGAATTAAACAGTCGACCTGTGATAGTCAGAATGAGAGCGCGTGTAACGATGGAGGTGAACAGCGCTTTCGACATTTGCATGTCAAAACATGGCTGACCGCAACACACTCATTTCCGAGCTACACGTTAACTTTCATGGAAGTTCATCGGAAATCTGTTAATTATGTACGCGTATTTCTTTCGGTCGCGTTTAGGTATATTCTTTCATGAAACTAATGAGTTTTATGAAAGAATATAAATCTTAATTATCATGTTAAATCTCAATTAAGATACAAAATGATTACAGTAGGTAAATACAAAAATCATGCATGTAGTGTATGCGAAAACAAAAGTAAAATGATGACGCTGGCCTTACAGTTAGTTTGAAATTAGCTCAAAATGCGATTGTTTACCTTCTTCATCGTCGTCTCTTGGTTGCAGCAGCCACAGCTCGTCATCGTCAAAGTGTGCATCTCCACCGCGGCCAGAGCCAGGAAAGAACGCGTGAGCAAGGATCGCGCCGCGCCCGTCAAATGGATACGCGTCGTCATGGTAACGCCTGGTTCAGAAAAAAACAAAAATTAAGTTAGCTAAAACATAAAATGCTAATACATAAAAATAATATCGTGTGATGAAGTTCCTGTTGGCTTTACTGTTGATGAAACAGTCATACTAAAGTAATGTATTCATTTTGCAACAAACAACAATGGATGGAGTGGATGGAGTCTGCAGAGCAATCAAACTTGCGTCCCCCGAGTCCAACGCTCGACTACTACCCACCTAATCATTTTTCGCGCCAACAAAATAACGGAAAGACCTCGCCCATGCATATTTCACGCAATATTAGCTGACCGTTGCGTTATTGAGTTTCCATGTGAAAGTTCTGCTATTAACCGATATGGGCGGGGTGCTCTAATAGGGAAAATATTCCTATACTTAGTACGGCTATTATTATGCTCGCTCGGTTTCTGAGTCGCTTAGGTAATAAAAACCGCAGTGGAATATTCCCGGAGTGATTTCCCGCCGTATTGGTGGCACAACCAATGTCGGGACCGCGATTTTCATCTTTGTTTCGTTCACCCGCTTGAAAGCGATAGAAAAATGCAATTTATATTTTGAAATCTACATTACCTTGCTTGTAATGACAGCACTTTTATTGAGTGCTTTCACAAAGGTAAGGTAGTGGAATGAGGAAGTGTCTCGCTGACATACGCCGTCAAATATAATGGGTTCGGAATGGAAAGTTTCCGAGTTTGGGGATGATTTATTGCTATGTTGGTATCTGCCCTTAGCAACAAATGTATGCGTATATGAAACGGGTCAATGTGAACAATATTTCATATAACCCTTTTTGTAAAGATGCAATAAAGTTAGACTTACAGGCACAAAGCCAAGCATGAAAGAAATATGGTCTTTATTTTAAATTGGTTCATAAAATATACATTACATTTCTAAATGCATGAGAACTTAACTATTGTATATAAGCGTATGATAGCAGCTAGTGATTGCACTTATATCATTCGTGAGTTGGAGAACGCAGTTAAGTTGTACGTATCCTTTATTACTTGGGCAATATTACAGTTTATGAGGGCAATAAATCTGGTAGACGCATAGTGTAGGGTGTGCTTTGTGCAATCACTCTGTGTTCTGATTCAATGGAGTGATGAAGTGATGATACGTCCCTTATGTATTCAATAACAGACTATCACTACAAATGCTCATTATCGACATAGTTACGTTACAGATGATTGCCATATAAAACTTTTTCAAATGAAATATTACTTGTTGATTAATTCTAGATCTAAATATTAAATTAATCTGAGTTAATTACATTTTAGATATAGCAAGCATTACAATTTTCTTTAAAAGTATTTATGTAATAAGAGTGATAAATGACAACATTAAAGAAATAGTTTGGGTAGGTACCTATATCATTGATTTGTATAGGTATATTTGATACCTGTATTATTGTAAATTCCTACATACATTTCTTATTGGTATAGTATCGTTATATTAGTTTCTATTCCATTGGATGACAACCTTTCTGTTGTAGGAAACGGAAGACTTTTATAGAGTGTAATATAAGTTAACGCACGCATAAAATCCGAGACAGGTACCTTCGCGACGTAGCGCGTAGCAGTTGATACGCCCTCTCTATCGTAATATAAAAGACTTTAATAATCTGAAAGCTTCGTGCGTTAAATATAAATCTATTTAAAAGACGTCTGTTGTATATTTTTTATTTCTTAAAGCTTAAAAGTAAACCTGAAATGCACACAATGTATCGCAAAGCATTATCGAATATATCGCGACTCGCGAGCAAACTTCTTATTGATTCGACAGCAAGTAATAAAAGTGCGCTCGTGACGTGACCAGGGACGCATCAACTCACAAAATGAGATGCTCCCGGGGTGCCGAGAAAAAAGAAAATTTTATGCAGAGTGCGGTGAAGTTGTTGGATGCCGCTGCAAGTTTGCAACGTGCGCCGCAATATGGCGGTCGCAATATGTCCAGTGTTGAGGTTTTTGTCGCCCGCTACTTTCTCATATCGCCGTTTACGGTGATCTAATAAGTAAAAGTTCGCCCTACTCTCATTCAATATGAGGCTACTGTCGGGAACTTTGCGTCATTTGTCAGGGTTAGCTCCGTACGTCCCTGTCGTATCTGTTTACTATCATACTTTTGTTATGTCGCCATATAAAATTGTTCGTGAAATAGTGTCGTTTCAGTGGAACGAAAACAATTATTAATGGAAGAAGAAATATTATAGTTGAGATAGTTATGACGGAGATTAGGTGTAACATTCGCTATAGGAAAATGTAGGAATTAGTATTATTTTGTACAATGACATAGATTTAGTGGATACCTACGTTTTTCTTTAAACTGTCAAACACCAAGCGGTCGCCGGTGACCGCAACCTATTGTTCTTTATTTGTATCTATAAATACGGTACTCGACGAGTTAAGTAGAGATTAGAAAACTCCTGCAATTAAATCATGGGTTTCTAAATCTTTACCTAAACTAAAGTTAAACCATGCCTATTTAAAACGAACTTAAAGCACATCAAAACACTTGAAAGCAGGTTGTTCCTAATTGTGCGTAACATTAAAAAAATAAAATGACTTTGACTTTCATATGTTTCTTTAAGGCCATTATTAACTGTGTTTTTTAAATCTTTTTGTATCTAAAATAGGTATCTCAATACTTAATGTAGTCGTTAAGTGAACCTTATAGTGTTCAATTTTGTTTGAACAGCGTCCGACCCTATTCTTATGCCCCGCACGAGAAGATCGCAAATCCCCTTAAAATGGATAGGACGTTTCTGCAAATCCTCAGTTGATTATTATTTATTATCAACACAATAAATCAAGCTTGGGGATATTTAAAGAAGTCTGCCAATTTTATTCGTTGCGAAATATATTTTCTTTGTTGGTATGCTATACCTTACATTGGGCTTCGTTTTAAATGAAGTGATCGGAATATTCTACGTGTAATATTATTAAGAAGAAAGAAAAAGTCGTATAAACAATATATTTGTATCTGGTTTAGATTGTGACTTACTTAGCAAAGGAAACGACGATATCAGCCTCGTCCGAGTTGATTTCTGTGAAGGTAAGGCGTGACGCCTGTGCCCATACGTTGAGTGCCCGTGCCAGCACACTGCGAGTTTCATCCGGGTTCAGCTGTGATGGCCGCCGAGTCGAAGACAAGCTGGAACAAAATAAAGGAACGTAAGCACATCAACTTTATGCATGACTTATTTTTCTCTATCAAAAATAGGTTGCAAGTATGTAGGTATGAAAGTTTCTTTGTCATGATTGTTGTTCACATAACTTGAAATTTGCGAGTCTTAATAATAAAATAGTGAACCTTTGTTTAATATCAGTTGACGAGAGTGGTCATTACGTAAAGGGATGGCTACTGTAGGTATTGTACTCGTGTGCGAGTGGCATGGGGCTGAACGTACCCCATTTCAGAGCTGTGTGGTGTACTGCGGCCGGACAGCTTTCGAGTAATGGAATAATCGCATTGTGGACAATTTGAGTGACTCGGCCCTATTTAACGCTCGCTGCGTTCATTACATGGGATTTATGCGTTGTCATTGTCATGTATAACACAGGGACCTCATTAGGTCCACACAGGTTTTAATTAGGGATCTAGTCCGAGCTTAATACCACTAAGCGGATATATGTCGCGATGTTATTGTAACTGCAATGGATGATCTCTAGCGGATCGTATTAAACATTGCCGTTGTATCGACAAGTGCACCAAACCACTAGTGTCGTGGTCAGCTTTCAGCCTATAGATATTTGTACAACGAATTTTGTTGGATAAAATATGGTATCTGTGGGTAATTAAAATTAACCAACGCGGCGGCCGTCCGCAGCTCCTGTTGTTAACAAATTATTTTAATACAATTATTTAGGGACACCGGGGAAATTAGAGAGATAAAGCGTGTGCGACTTACTAATGTTGCGAAATCAACGTTATTCATTTGAACTGCACAGTTCCCGTCTCTAGGCAGTAGCGACGTACAGTCCTACATGAAATGATATGTGCAAAATAATTCATCGAGTCTTTTTAATGTGCTGGCTGCCCCAGGACAGTACAGTACAGGCAGCGGATGGAAACCGCTCGAAATTTATTATTGCCATATTAACATGGGCCGCCGTTCGTGCACGCACTATATCAGCCAACTAGTTAATTGCAAGCCTTGGATGAAACTCGCAACCGCATTTCGAAGTTAATGTTGTTATGTCAGCCCAAAATAATGAGTGTGGTCAAACTGCACGGGAGAATTTCACGTAGATACACAACCGTATTGCTATAGACAACTTTGGTGACAATAAGTTGGATATGAGAATATCAGACAATACTTGCTCGTATTGAATAACTTTGATGACGACTATTTTGTCAAACGTGTCCGGCAATAGCGTGCGAGTAACATCGCTTATCGACAGACGGCCTCCCGGAGCGCCACGTCACGCGTGTCATGTATCTTTACACCCCATTACACTAATTATCTGATAATCAAATCCACACACGTCCATGTCCACGTATGTTGGAACAGCCACATGTGCGCCACGTTGTGGGTATATGATTACTTACTTATTAAATTCGCATCGCCTAGTACCTCCTTATATTGATATTGATTGTAAATAGGTATTTGTACTAATTAGTACCTAATTTCAAAGAGATTCTTTGATTTTTAAGAAATGAGGTAAATTTGCCCCTCGCTACTGGACAGAATTCTACAGTCTTCTTTCGGTTCCAAAGTTTTCGAAGATGAAGCCGGAAAAATGCTCTTTTTTTATAATGCGGAACGAGGTCGGTACCGTAATAATTTTCATCATTTAAATGAAACACGTGAGTTCGCAAATAACTTTGTAGTGGTTTTGAAGGACTTCGCAGCACGTTGTTTATTGGTGGGTCAGTTTGAAGGAGTTGAGAGTAAACAGAAGCCTACAGTCTGACTGGGGTGGTAGAGCTGTGGACACGTGAGAGTGGGCGGCAGCTGGCGAGGGCACGTGATCACGTGCTCGCCTTTACATTACAATACTCCGGGTCACGCCTACACGCACTACACTTCTATACGACGACGACACCTTTCAAATCCTGCCCGGTAAATTTCATTTCACATATTGATGTAAGAAGATAACTTCTAATACATATTACGTCGGTATGTAAAATAGGATTAGGTACCTACTTCAGAAACACTTTTTCAAAATATAACCAAGAATATCGTTATGTCATCGAAGACAAGCTTACAGTGAAACCATTTTTATTGTTACAGTCGTTTACCGTATGCACGCACCTATGAGATTGACACCCGCATGAGTTCATGGAATCTTTATTCCCTATAAATAACCTCCTTTGTTATATTTATTGGTAGTAAAGTGTCGTGATGCGCGTTCGATACTTACATTAAAATGTAGCTGTATAATTTAGCGGCAGCGGCACTGCGTTTATAGCGTGAAATAATAAAAGCATGCGATATTGTGACGACATGGCGACGCGAGACGTCTTCACTGCGAAATGGACATAATCTCGTTACGATGTCATAACAAACAGATTTGTAAGCACGAATTTTATGGGCTGTGTCCAACGAGCTAAAATTTAATTTTCTGAAATAATCTGTCAGCGAGCTATTAAAATTATTCGTCCGTGTACAGTCCTACAGACGCGACGTTACACTTTATTACTGCAAAAGATGTTACAAACAGGACAGCGACAAACTTTGTTGGCCGAATATTGCTTTATTACCGCGTATATTTTCTGCTGTATCATATTAGACCATAATACTTTACTATCTGAACACTTACAGCATTCTTTGTGACCTGCACAATAAAACCTACACAAGAAGTTGTTCTACGACTACGACTACGACTACGACTGTCATAAAATTCTACGGAAAATTGAATAAAAATGTTTAGGGAAAATTACACTTTGTTTTCTGTGATATAAAATCTTAAGTTAAAATGTATTTTATATTGTTGGAAATTAGTATATAATTTTTGTTTACACAGCATTCTCATAGTTTTTTTTATTTGTAGGTAAAGACCTAACCTACAATTGTAAGTACCGACTTATTAGATAAGTAACTATTTTTGCAGGTACTTGCCTAATATATTCTCGTTGAAAAGAATATTTCAACAAGGACAGTGATGCCAAATTGCTTTTTATTTTACTGTTCGAAAGGGGGAATTAGCATAAAAATAATAAAATGTCAGTGGGATAAGGTCCCCCGTTGCGTGCCAGGCGCGCCCTGCCACCGTCTGCCTGTCAAAACGATTGTCAGCTCACCTCCGACTGCGTGCGAGACATGGAGCTGTTATCTGGATTAGTGTTCATATTTACAAAAACATCGGTACCTACCTATACAATGTTATCGATAGCCGATTACTATTAATTTATTTATTAATCTCTAAATTGACATTTTTACAAAATTAATGCAGCCCGCATTTGATTCTGTCATACTCACCCATTCGATTCGGTCTCGATATACCTAATATATGATCATTGATCACACACTCAATTGTTTTAATGGTATAAATGAAAGTAAATAGTATAACGAATAAATCACCAAAACAACCCACATTTAGGAATGTAAGTCAATACTACCGATTGCTTTAATTGTTCCGCCGATGCAGTAAGGCACTCCTTTGAAATGTCTTCCCCTCCGTCGTGCCGCGTTGCTTGCGCCTTCAGCTCTCATGCCGTACATTGTAGATAAGCGACGTGGCAATAGGCATTGATGCTCACTGGGGATTTCAATAGCAGTCTACCGCTTGAATTCTTTGATGTATAAAGGGATTTAAAGAGACTCTCCAACGTGAGGAAATTTCAATTTCGATGCATTTCTGTTTTGTACTTTTTTCACCGTAACCACTTATAAAAATGTTGTTTGAAGCTTTGACTGTATAAAGACCGTGATTAAGTAGATACTTCTTAACTTAGGTAGAAAACAGGTAGTGTACCTGGGTACCAGAAAACAGGTACACTACCTGTTTTCTATCTAAGTATAGGAATAATATCTGTTCGTTTTTTCAATATTTTTATTCTTTATCTATTTTCCTGTAATAAATAACCGATAGCGCTCAGTCCAGCGCAAATATCTAGAGCTACTGGCATCGCTTCCTAATTGACCTCTATCGGCGTATTCCTTTAATAATAGCTCCTTTGAATGTCGGCTGTCGGCTGGCAGCTCTCACGTGCGCCATTGTGGAGGAAGCATTGACGCTCCTTAGGGATTTGAGAGGATTTCTAGACAACGCTTTACCGTCTCTCTATAGACGTCGGTTTAAACGCTAGTTCTGTCTCTATTGTGTCGACGTTTACATGTTTGTAGAAGATTATAATGGTTCTCTAAGAGACAATATTATATTTCCATTGATATCATGTAAACCTCCATAGAAATTTTACCTGTTATTAACAAACATCTGTTATGTTCGATGAGCGTTTAGATTAGGTGTTCACCGGTGAGCGACGCGCATAGACGAAATTAGCGAAGCTGGCCGGCCAGCAGAGCGCCGGGAGCGGAATTAAGTCGAGAGTAACGTTGTTATGATGGTAATGGCATATTACTGTTCGCTCCGTGCGGACATTTTCCGCACGAGCACAGATACAAAATTGAAACGATTTTTCAGTGATACGATTGCATCGGTTATCAGTGAGCGTGCACTTCACAATTCATGTTGAATATAGATGAAGTGACTCTGTAAGGTCGTTACCAATCTTGTTACAGATTTTTTTTTGAAAATGTGTCTTTGATGGGGTTTGAAAGGAATTTGAATGAAAAATGGGGTTCTGAATGCATTTAAAAGTAAATAGAATTAGTTTCCTTCGACCACTTTTATTTCGTTTAAATGTCGGTCTAAAACAGATAAAGTTATATTTTGGGTTGAGGGAGAGAAATAATATGAAATGATATACGTTAGTTCTTAGCTCACTCTCGGGCTAAGACCTAGTTAAAGACACGCGTTGTTACAACTTTTATATGAGTTAGCTAAGCTGGGAGGGATGTAATTGGAAACTTGAGACGGCTTGCAATACCAACGCTGTACCAACTCTAGTTACGATCTTAATTTTGGCCATAAAAGCGCAGTTTTTAGAGATAATTCAGAGATAATCGGTTCATTAAGTTTAGAAAAGCTGATATTACATGGCAGAGCAATTTTCGCTTATCTTTAGTCTAGTCTAAATTATCTTTTCTGTTTAACTTTTTTTAATAGGTACTTGGATTTCATACCTACTTAAGTGAAATATGCTTGATATATGTATAGGTACCCAACTCAGTTTAAGTCGGAATGATAATAAGTAAAAATATGAACCTCACTTAGAAATTGCCTTGTTACCGTTGTTTGCGTTAACATAATTCGTTAAAACGTTAATTTCACAATAATTCTCGTGTGATTTAAGTAATAGAACGATAATTTTGAAATAGAACGAACTAAGCAGTGTATTAGACATGA